TCACGTGCACATCAGCAGGCATCCGCGTGCTCGGCCTGGCAGCCCTGCTCCGCCACGCTCTCGCCTTGCCGAATACAATGCCCGTGATGTTTCGGATCATTTTTAACCCCCCAAAACGCAGTTTCAGAAAGTTTCATCGTTTTCTTTTGCGCAATAACTCGACAGCCATGTGTCACCACAGACTGTGCATATTTGGAAAACACAAATTGTTTATCAACGCCTGATAGACGTTCAGAAAAGAAGAGTTTGCACGTAAAAATGATAACAGAGAAACTTTATTTTGAACGCGTGATACATATTGTGCTATGACGTACTTTCGATCCTTCTACCAGCTTCCATTGATCAGTTGTAATTTTTTTGTAAAGAAATTTCAAGTTTGATAAAGATGGACAGTTAGAAATGATACGATCATAAGTACTTAATCACCTGAAGAAAATTACTGTCATAAGTGATCGAGTTAATTAGAGAATGATGGATGAAATGATTTTATCACCCAAAGATAAATGAATAAAATTTTAATTTGTTATCGAGCCAGCTGTTGAAAAGATTCATCGTAACAGTATTTTGAACTGTAATACGTATTACGTTGTATGGAGGTTTTCGTAACAATCCAGCTTATAGAACACGTTGAACAGGTTTTTGTGCCGCATCATAATGTAATTCCAACGAGACCGAGCTTGTTCAGAATTACTGCTTAACCCTTTTGTTATTGATGCTGGATATACTCGTAGATGATATAAGAATTGCTATACCCTCGGGTAACCCATTTTCTATATGAAGTATTGTGAACACTTTATTGTGGCCCACCCCCCAAAAATTATGAGAACTAAGTAATATCAAAATAGAATTATTTATTGAGTAGCTGATAATTGCAGTTGCGAATGCTGCCCAACGAGACGTTGAAACAAGATTAAAAAATGAATAACATTTGCATTTCGAACATTGCGTAGGTACATAATACATTCAGAGCGGTAAAAAGGAAACAAATTATACGTTTATTCTCATACATATTCCAGAAAGTGTAGGATTGTCTGTTCAATATTTTTTTGCAACGTCAGAAAAAGAATCTGCGTTAAAGAAAGTCCAAACATTGATAAGAAACATACTTTTCTTGTTATTTTCCAAAAAAGACGCATCCTTGATATCTCTGGATGTGAAACAAAACAGATTTTACCTTCGATCATTCAAGGCCTAGTACTTTACATATTTACTGATTGTAAAACGATGTTACTTTGTTAACTGAATGATCTAGCGTTGTCCTTGGACACTTTTTTTCATTCAGCAACACATTTATCTTTATAATTGTTAATATACCCAGGACATTATGTAATTTTTAATGACTTCATGCATGTGTAGATGAAGATAAATTGTTAGAGTTTTATGCTAACTAAATTTAAACACTTCCATGTTTTATAGAAGCCACAATTCTTTTATTAGACAAAAAAAAATGTAGGAAGCATTAAAATTAAATTAAATTGGGATATTAACAAAAGTAAATTAATTTTTTAAGATCTCATAACTTTTGAGGGTGGCTATCATCACCCCTTAATTAAATTAAAGAATTCATCCTTCATGCTCTTAATAATCAATTTTATCTTGCATATTCATAATTAATGGACTTTTATCAATTCTTAAAGGAAATTATTTAATCGGGAGAAGAGGAACAACGAGTTAAATAATACAGCCGCGCAAACAGGAACCGGTAATGATAATCATTTAGTTTAAAGATGTCGCCTAACGATAACCTACCATGTTCTCGTTAGCGTGTTTGCTTTCTGCTGTTCTCTTTTCTCACGACCAGTGTTCCAGAGCATCATGGAAAAATTTAATCACACAAGTTGAACAATTTTATCCAACGAATGTTATGTTAATTAGAAGTCAAATTACTCGAGCTTCGTTATAAGAAGAAACAATATCGGAAGTTGAAAATATCTTAAATTCTCTCTTTTTTTCTTTAATTTTTTACTATTTTAATGTTGTATAAAATTTTGATGCATTATTTTACCGGTAATAATTAGAATGGCAAATGGGTTTGACAAGATAAAAAATGAAAGTCAAACAGTATCAATGGTAAAATAAATCAACCGGACAGGAAAATGAACCTCCGCCTACGATAATCCTCCTGAACGACGTTCATCAGCTGCACGATGGCGCCATTATTTACCATTCCCCGGACATAATGCCCAAGAAAAGTCAACTCGCGAGTCGTGTGTGCCTTCTTTGTTTTTCGCAAATATAATGTCATTACATCCCGGGTATGATTCATGAACAATCGCGATACAAAAATAACGAGTTCGTCGAGGCCGTTTTCATTGTGCACGACCACCATCTGAGTTCCAATGACGCATATCAATTCAGATACTCATTTCTATCGTACAAGATGTATTTCGTATATTTCCATTCGATTAAAATTCCATGGAAATACACTGGAGTTCGATGACCCACTCTCCAAATCATTTAATCAATTTTATCATATTGATGATTACTGCCATTGAATTTAGACCCTCTAACAAATTGTAATCAATAAAATAGTAAAAGTTTCACTTCTATCAAAGAAAGAGCATGGTTCACTCTAGCAGTAATAAAGTCTACAACCTACCGCAACGATAGAAAGTAACAAGCGCGTCTAAAACCTCTTCGTTCGTCAGAAATAATTAACGGAGTCATTAAAGAATCGATTTGAAAGTCACACAGTCGCTTATTCACGACCCATGTCTGTGATAATTTATCGGTCAGTCGAATTCTTTTCTTCTATGTTTTGGTGGACAGATAGTCACTTTCTACAAGAACAGATCTTGATAGATGGAAATATTTGGGAAGGCAAACGATGTCAATGTCGTGAACCGACACCATCAATCTATGACGTACATTGAATCAATAACAAGTACACGTGCATCGCTTTTATTGTTATATGAAACAACAGATTTGTTAAGGCAGTTCAATTGAACCATGTCATTCATATTTTCCAATTTTATGAAGATGGATGTCTGAATTTTTTTATTATTAGAGTTTAAAAAATTGAATTTATTTTTGAAACCAGCGACGCACCCTATGCGTCATATAAAGAGATCATGAATCTTATATGGAAATTAAATAAAAGAAGCATATAAAAATGAAAAATTCATAATTTCGAACTCGTTGAAACAAACATAGTGATCCCAAGCTGACTACAGCGCACACTCTTCCTTTGTTTACACTGTTATAAGTTGACGATGATGTTTTTAAAATAAAACACTTTTTCAAGAATGCATGAAGTATTTCGCGATATCTTATCAAGAAATGATACTCTAATCGATCGATAAAGAAACATGTATTCTACATTTTGGATCAGCTGTTCTACGCGTCAGACGATTCCACTTACAACTCTACAGTATAGTCTGGACGGCAATATAAACACCATCATTAATTATTTTTGTATCCATCTAAATACTTGATAAACACTAAAATTAACGAAAATTAAAAATGAAAAAATTTATAATAAAATGTACTACGAAGTCAGTTTCATAGCACTGCATATGGTATGCCATATAGCTGATTACAAAACCATCCACCGATATGCAGTGTGCGAAACGTCAGCAAGAAATTAAAAATGTGTACGTGACTGTGATACATGAACAGACGTAACACCCACGAGCAAGAGATAATCAGACAATCATGTTTTATATAAAAATTCAGTATTTTCAATGTCCATCTACTCGTGGCCTAAATACGTAGTAAACTCTCAATCAAGCGCACTAGCCACTGGATCGTTACAAGACTAATGGCATTTTCGTCCTCGGACTAAATGTAAAGGATGGATCAAGGTCGACTCCTCACCTGATGAATTAACCCCCTTTTGACAGTGGTCGTCGATGATCGATGATATTAACGATGACAGAGCTCACGGCACGAAGAGGATGATAGTTGAACACGTAACGCGAATGATGGCACGCCAAGCCCTCGTAGTATTCTGATAGATGTAGTTTTGGTGGAGGGCTCATTCGTGTCCAACGAGGGCGCTTCAAGGGGAACCATCGCGCCGACTCCGAAAAGTCTGCGAATCCAGCCTAGCAAGTATAACGTGGAAGGGATGCCATCGATCGTACTTTGTATATACGCGGGGTCCATGCCCGCTAAGTATCAACCCTTCTACCATACTTTATATTCTTCTTTTACAACGAGGCGAGAGTTGTTTATGACCTACTTTGTCAGAGATTATTGTTTTTAGATTATCTTTTTGTTTTTTACTTAAAAATTATTGCTTCTGGCAATTGAGACTTCAATCGTTAGGTATACAATTCATTTTTTAATTTGTGAAACTTTGTTCTTTTTAAATTCGTGGGGTACATTTATTATGACCTTCCCCTCGAAGTTTAATTTCTTTATTAAAATTCTATACTTGTAATTATATAATTGGAATGCAAGTAACAGAGTATATCGTATTATTATTATATCCCGGTTATATTTTTACGTTCTTTAATTTTAAATAAATGCGCTTTCTTTAGAATAGCGGTGCTATTACCATCTAGCGGCTCGCGGTACAACTAACAAAGCCGAAAATTCTGTTTTTTGGTAAAAATAGCCATTTTTGAGCCTCTTTGAAAAGCATAGAGCATTCTATAGACACACTGCAATATAAATAATGAGCTCTTAGTATTCATAAAATGTCAAATTCGAAAATGAAAAATGCAATTTCGGCCAGCGATCAGAGATCTATAAAGACTGGACGGCGAAGCGCGTGACAAAAGAAATCGTCGGTGGGAAAATACACGAAAATTTACCGATTGCCGAAGGATCGATCAATAAGCCGGCATCTTATCAATCGGCGTGCGTCTCGTCTGTGCCTGCAGTCAATGAATTTGCTTGATCATTTTCATGGATCACTGTTAGGTGGCGCCAGGAATACGTTTTGTAAAGGTAGAGTAAATCAGGAGCGGCTAGGGGCGAGTTACTTAGGGGCGCAAACGTGGGGTCCTCCATCTCTGCAACACGAGGTACGAGACAACAACTACTGACCCATCATATTGATCGACCTGGATCCGCAGTTCGCCTCTATCCGATTGCGCGACTTGGGGTGGCGCTTCGTGGAGACCGCGCCGCGCCACGACGCGACGCGACGCGACGCTTTTCGACGCTTAAACGCGCTAGCGTAGTCGCAACAACCACTGCGCCCGTTAACACCGCATCGTCCTCCCTTACGTGGAATCGTCCAGCGCCATGCTGGTTGGTGGTGCCGAAATCGGGAAAGAACGTTGTTTAATCGACGACAGTTAAGGTGGCCTGCTGAAATATACGCAGGGGTAGAAGGGTTGAAGTGTCACTCTCTGCTCGTCGAGTTCCGGTTTCGTTGAACGGTTGAGTATTCTGGACCGTCCTATTAGTTGTGTACGTATCGACGAGGATTCGAAAGCAGCAGCTTCAAGATTTTTTATCATTTGCTAGTTAAATCGATTTAAAGGGTTGATTTTGACGTGAGTGCATCCGGAATGCATGGTAACTATGGTGAACGTCCAATTGCAGTTTCAATGTCGCTTGAAATGTAGGAAATACATGTAAAATAGGAAAATGTCGAGGACCGTGTGTGAATTAGTGGCTGTGTTGAATTAAAATTAACACCAATTCACGGGATTAATTGGTTCATTAGTTTGTTTTCTGCTTCTTGCTTGTTTCGAGGAGAACACTAGAACTGATTGGTGCATCTCGTAACTAGGAATTTAATGAACATGCGACGAATACTAAATTGTTATTTTAATTCTGCATGCACTTAGATGTTTGTTTAATTAATCTTCTTGGTTTGTCTTACTTTCTGTGTTACGTCGTGCAAGTGTTAGATGTAACGTTCGATTGAGAGTGACAGTGATTGATCTGATCATTACACTGCTTATCCGCTAAATTTCCTTTATTTTATTAATATAGTTCAATTTTAATTATCAATTTCACGTAACGTCTTGCTTACGTAAGGAAGTTATGTTTTCTTCGGGTACGGATAATAGTACTACCACCTTGACTTGGTAATAGTCTTTTTCTTGACTTTAAGCGTTGAAGCCAGTGCATGCGGGTGGAAACCTGTGAAAATCCAAGTTTACTATTAATCGACACATTTGAATTTGTATTACAGCTATCACGAGATGATACTAAAGTGCTTGCATCCGTAACATCGATCTAAACAATTGTTCTCTTCATTGTCCCCTTCGATAACTGATTTTTTATTTTTATTCTTCATTTACATCACTTTTAAATAATGCATTCGCAAGTAATATTCTACAATTATTAAGGTGCTTCATTCGAATAGGGAACGTTTTAAGCAAATTATTAAAGGTATTAAGTAGATTCTGCTATTAAAATTGGTACAGGATTTCGCACGCTACTTTCAGCAACAGGTGTCCAAATTTTAATCGTCATTACGAACGATATTAGTTAATAAAAATTGTATGCTCCATTGGTCAATCAATTAACGGGATGAACTCTTGAAATGTTCAATACTTTTCGTCAACATTTTTCTTCTATTCCTCCCGCAATCACATTATGGTAGCAGAGTATCCATGAAGTTTGCACGAGGCGTTTGCTGTTCACTTTATTAAGTTGCATATTTCATATGAATGTTCTCTGTTATGCATCTCGTGTTTCAAGCGTCCATTTCATCTTCCTTAGTACAAACATTTCGATGCGAATGAGCTAGCTGTACATATTGTCTTATCAATCAATTGTTTGATGGCCATTGATGTTTGAACCATTATGCGAGATTGTGTTCCATTCGAATATTGAAATGATACACGCTTATTCGAAGAAAAGTTTTATTTTGTTATGCTAATTATACATGTATAGATCAGAATATATGTATTTTCAAAAAATTTATGTACGAAAATTCAGTTCCAATGTTTGCATCTAAATTCACTATGCTTTTGTTTCGTTTCCCTTCAAAACCCAACTTATTATATTTATGATAAACACAAATATATGAACATGAATAGCAATTGGCTTGAATTAAAAAATTGTCCAGTCCAAGGTCGGTCTATTCGGTTCAATTAAAGTAGATTAAAGACTTCCGTTTCAGCTCGTGTTTCTAATGTATCCTTTTTGAATATGCATCAAAATACTCATTAGAAATTTTGTTCAGTTCGAATCGCGTTAATGATTGATCGATTGACAATTCATTTAGAAACGACGAATCTTTCTCTTGAAATTATTTCAGAATCGTCAGTCCCTGCACGGTGACGTAAAATTGACACGGTGTTCTCCTCGCACAGAAAGATGAAGTCACGACACTGTGACGGAAGACACTGTTCAAAGCTGGACGATCGTATTTCCTCGTAGCAGAATGTCAAAAGAATTGAATCTGAAATTTTGAGCCACGTATTACTTTGGCCAGTGGATGTCTAATCGTTTCATAGGAGGCTCTGAGTTATCTTTCGTACGTGACAGAGGACCAAGAATACTCGTCGGTGTTTCAAGCGAAGGTAATTAGAAAAATTGGTATCTTGAGATTTAAGTTTTTATTAGAATTAAAATTCTGTTGATTTGAATGATGGAAAAAATCATGAAAAACATTGATTGAAGCAGAAAATCAATTAGTTATTTATAAACTTGAGGGAAGCACAGTTTTGTTGAAAACTTCAGGGACTGCTTGACCTCGAACTTCCTTAGCTCTATACATTTTACAGTAAATAGAAATTCGATTTCTCACGGGAAAGCTAAGTGAAATGCGAGGCGTTAACTTTGCTCGAGATTAGACGTATAAAAGTTTGTTCTATAATCAAATCGACGCGCGAGTTCGGACAGAATCCATACAAGTTTTGTAATAAATGACTCTTAAGGTAAACAATCGGCTAGAAACCTTAGTGCACAATGCAAATCAAAATCCTTTTTAATGGATTAGACGCTTAACGTCGCTTCTATCGTCAAGTACTTCACTGTACGAACAAACATATGCCCCTTGCCACATCAATGTTGCACAAAGGGGAAGACTGTATCTATACGAAACATCTATTATTCTGCTCTCTATTATTCCTGAAGGAGCATCTGTTATTCTACACGAGCTGAGATAAATCATCAGATCAGTTTCGTTTAGTATCTTTGAAAAATCTCTGATGTTTTAACGAAAATCTTTTATTGATTATTGTAATTCTCTATTTAAAATTGCATAAAAATTGGATAAAATTGAATAAAAGATACAAGATTTCTTGATAATATTTATGTCACGCTGTTGTTTGTCAACGGTGTCGTGATAAGATATTGGATAGAATGGAATGGTAAATCTAGGAAAAGGAAGATGCGGTATTTTGTTGGCTCAGCTACGTACCGCAGTGTTGTTTGCCGCAAGATTGCGTGAAAACCAGAACACACTGACCCGATTACTGCTTTTAATCACCAGAATTTATTAACAGGTTAAACGCTTTGCATTATTGATGCGGTAGTACTTTTCTTTATTGTTTTCATTCGTTATTTAATCGTATCAAGTTTGTGACGATGATCATCGATAATTTTGATGGTAATCATCGTATAAGGGAATAAGGTATTCGTGAACCTTTGAACTATTTGTTAATAGATGAGACATTTAAACTTGAAGAGTATTCATTTCACTGTCTAATAGACACGTTAATTGACCTTTTGCTTGATCATGGGACACCCACATAGAAATATCGATTTTCTAAAACAGGAGATTCTATTTCAGCTTTGATGTGATTTGCCTGTCGATTACGTTCGATTGCGAGTAATTAGAAACGGTCAGTGGTTAGAAGAGAATTAGAGCGAGGGGTTGAGAATTGCATATTTTTTTTTCCTTTCTTTTTCAGTCGAATGCGACTCCGCAATTTGCATCCGGTGCACATTTTTACTGTAGGTGTAAGTTCGTGACACGGTATGAAGCTGGACAGGAAGTAAAAAGGCAGCCATACGTGGAAAACATGGGGACGAATCAGTTGATAGTGGGTGAGTTTTGACAGCAATTGTTTGTTGTATCTTTTCTACAAATCCGAATTGATCTCCCGAGAAAATGTAATTTATTATTCGTGTTGTTTCATTCATTTATTTTTGAAGGAATCCCGGGCACTTTAAACGTACATTATAAGCACAAACACAAAAAAATTGATCAAATAATTTAAGCGAAGATACGTGTATCATAATTTTCATAGGATAAGATTTTAATGTAATTTTCGAATTATTCAGACAATTTTTTGTATTTCTGCGCTTAGATCATTTTAATTGCAATATAAATGGATGTTTTGATAAAATTTTGTGGTAGCGTTAGCGAATCTATCTTCGTTTAATTCATGCTATATACAGAAGCAATAGTGGTAGGCTATACTTTGTTTATAAAAAATAACACTTAACCCTAAAATGTGGTCCTGTTTTGTGAATACATTAAAATTTAGATAATTATTATTTTTTAATTTCAATCATACCAACGATATGGACGATACTATGTTGTAACCACACAAATTCAGAAACTCGTGTGTCTGACTATGGCGCGAGGTTTCTACTGTAAAATATCAATTTTCCATTAATTAATACCATAATCGCTCCTATGACAACGAAAGTGTTAATTGTTGTAACTTTGGTGATTCAAAATACCTTCAAAGCAGAAAATCGATTCCGGAGCAATTAATCGTTAACGCAATATATTGTCGTCCAACGTGGTATGCACGGTTTAACGAGTCTCTGGAATTTAGCGAGAGAAAACAGGGGAAAATTCGTTACATGTCGCTTTACACCGTTCAAGCCTGCTAGTACTATTTCTCCTTGAAACAATAATTGTGCCTGAATAGTTAGATACAAATGGAACTGTGCTTTATCGATTGTTTTGGAGGTGATCGAGTGCACTGCTCCGGGTGAGTGTGCAAACGACGAAAACGCAAAAGCAGACGTAGCGACATAAGTCGACCTTACCATTAGCGTAGATAAGGGTGGATTTACACTACGTGTCGTTGGCGACAAGAGTACTTTAGAACTTTTTCCCGTGGCTTAAGTGGAGGAAGGTGTTCTCCTGAAACGACCATGTTGAAGGAAATTTTAAATAATTTATTTCCCTTATTTGTAATCCCAGTAATTCTTAATTTGCTGCCAACGACACGTAATGAATATATAACTTCGTTTGATTGTGATTGCCCCCATGGACTATCTGTGCGTAGATTGTTCAGAAAAATAATATTTTAGAATCAGTTACATTGGTAGGCCCCTGTGCACGAGGTACGTACAAATATGTTCTTAAAGTTAATGAAAACGATGAAAGTTTCAACCGATGATCATCATTTCGTCATTAATTGCATACTTTTCATACAAACTACAAGAAAACAATGATATGTAGTTTTTCAAAAATCAAATTTAGCTATTCTGTCATGTTTACAAGACATTAAATAAAAAAAAATTTATTTCAATAATTTTTATTGCCAAAGTTAATGAAAATAAGAAGTTAAATTACACGAGAAAACGTTCACGTTTCATAAGACGAAGAACCAAGAAACTCTTGACACGTAAGTCGGATATTATTGACCTATTCTACTTCCACGAGTTTCAGTCGCGCTTTACACTACTTTGAAAATGAATGAAAATTTCAAGTACAAACTCTACAGACTAACACTACATTCGATCATTGATACTCTACTGTACTATAATTATAATTTTAATTATCAAGATATCTGGATATTTTAATCTTGAAAAAATTATTAAATCCTCAAGTAAAAGAAATCAGTAGATGAAGAAATTATTTTTTCTAGAATGAATTGCTAATGAAAAAAAAAGAAATAAAATAAAATATTTAGATATCAGGATACTATGTGAACGTCTATAGTTATAATGAAAATTAGATGCAACCACGATAAATAGAACGAAGATAGTAGCAGTAGGAACGATAGTGGTAGTTCTAGCGATGTGCACCCTTTTTCTGTTGTTCATGATTATCATTTCGTAGACATCCTCAGTGAAAATGATCGTTGTCATCGTCTAAAACAGTGGCCAATGTTTCGTTTCAGCGGCAATTGTACTCGCGGTTGCCACCGTCTGTCGCGCGGAGTGCCAGAGTGAGTGATCAAGCCAGCTTCTCTTCAGTGTCCTTCTCATCGTTGTCTGCCAACGTTAATCTGCAGGGCTTATTCTATGAACATTTAATTCAATTATTTTCCCTTCTCTTAATTTTTTACATTCGTTTAATAATTATTTGCGTAGGATCGACAGATAAATTAATTTTATTTTGCCCTTGCTTGTAATTTCATTTACAAATTCTTTACTATTTGTTTCTAATTTCTCAAGCATATCGTTCTGCATTTTTTATTTGAGAAACTATAATGAAAAGAGAAGTGGTATTTCATTGTAATCATTTTTGCAGCTCGTTCTGTTTACTGCTACGAATGCGACTCGTGGACGGATCTCAGATGCAAAGATCCATTCAACTACACCGCACTTCCGAGGGATCAACCACCCTTGATGACTTGCAATGGTTGTTGCGTGAAAATGGTTCGCAACGCAAAGTCACGTAAGTGCCATTTGCGGAACGTTCGCTAAAATTCTGATTGTTAGGCATGCAAATAGGTAATCATGAAAATTTTGCCTCTTCGATCTTTTCTAACTCTACGAGTTAAAAATTAATTAGCGATACAAATTTCTGATTTGTTCACAGCGTATGAGAGCGTGAGGCGGACCTGCACGTCGCAGCTACAAATAAACTTATTCATGGTGGACCACGTGTGCATGATGGAAAGTACCGGCACTGGTCACATGTGCTTCTGTGAGGAGGATATGTGCAATCGTGTCTCCCCGACCTCGTGTTCGAATCCCGTACTCCTGTTGATCCTGTCGATCATCCTTGTACTACGCTCGGTCATCTTAGGGAGCCCAGCTTGCTTTGTAGAACGTTGCAATGGTCATGTCGTATAACACTGATTTTACTCGATTCACCCCGCCAGTGGTTTGCGATTCATATCCTCGTAGAATTTTAGTTTTAGTCGGGGACTAGAACTATCTTCGGGACGAACGATTCTCTCTGTACAGACGCGTCTTTCTTTCCAACGTGATAACGAGCGAGAGGTAAGATATACGTGTTTCGAAGAAGAAAAGAGGCTCGATCGATCCTTCGGTGATTCAAAGAAGTTTTCAGAAAGATGAGAAACTTAATATATCGTTACATATCGAACGATACTCTTTTCTTGTCGAAAGAAAATTTTGCACTCTGTTTCGCTCATCCCGATCCTCTTCGGCGTAATCGGTAGCGAAAATTTTCGACAGTGTTTTTCTCTAGATACATCATTCGACTCTATCACTTTCACGATTTAACCCCGCTCCTTTTGACGGCTCCTCGATCGAGTAAAATTTATTCTCATTAGCTTTGAATGATTTATGCCTTCTTTTTAATTGGTACCAGAGAACTTGTAGATTGAATTCTTGAAATTGGAAATGGAGGAAAGTATGAAATTCATGCTTCACAGAATTGAATCAGCATTTCTGAGATGATGTAGCTGTGATTTTCTATTTGACGAAGTAATGCTGCATGTATTCTAGAATTGATCACCAAATTACGATCGAATTTTATTTCTCCCTTTTTATTTTGAAAAAGCATCGTTCTGTAGTTTTCATAGGCACTTTGATAACCGAATCGAATCGATACCGATACCCGCGGGGAACATCATATATCGACAAACATTTTTCAAATGTTTCTCATCAAAGTTTCACTGGCTTGTTGTTTTTCTGTTTCACATCAGATTCGTGGTACAGGATCGCGAAAATACGTAGCTATAATACTTGCAACGTTGTTCGATCATTGCAAGATCTAGGAGTTAATGTGTTTTTAGCTGTATCGATTCACACATTGTGCGCACATCTTGCACTGGGAGTGACGGATCTTCAAAGGAAATCTTTAAATGAGGAAGGATGATTTAATCGAGGCACAGAGAGACACGATGAAAATCATTCGGATGCATAGAAGTCGATTGTTGGTGTCATTCAATATTCTTGAAGTATGTTAGTAAAGATAACACATTATATCAGTATTTGATAGAAATTTGATACACAATGTTTATACAACGATTTCGAAACACGTTTTCGCAAAGATACAGTAATCTTTGGGAAAATAATTCTATAAAATTACTCGTTAAGAGTTTTTCAATTAAAAAAAATTGAAGATTATAAAATGCACAGTATGCGACATTCGATATCTATGCACGTACCTTGATTATTAATTAATCATTCTATTTGTAGAAAATTTTAGCGTCTCCATCACACTGTCTCTTTCTCTCTCTCTCTCTCTCTCTCTCTCTCTGTTTCTCGTAACACGTTTGTATCGTACGTTTTCCTGTTCTTTATCACTAATGTCCCGTATTACGTTTATCCATTTGCCATTCTTAACGAGACACTAGTGTTTCGTGCCTCATGCACCATACGAAAGTGAAACGGGAATGGCCCATAGTACACGGAGCTTAAGGTAGACAACAGTTAGGCATGGTTTCAGCATGTCCATCCGACGGCAACGTCACGAAAACTAAAGCAGCAACTTCGGAAGCCGAGCATCAACAGCCAGCATTTTCGAATTCTACGTTCCTCGACTTTGCTTGCGCGTGTGCCTTACGAGAAACGATATTACCATTTCAAATGGCGCGAGTTTAAAGGTAGCCATTTTAGAATTGAATTTATCTCTTTTTAGCTTGTCTTTGAATTTTTCAAGGATAAAATGTAATTAAAATAGGGGTGATACAGTTTGTCATTTTGAAGGGTAATATTGTAACAGAAGCTTGAACCACCCATATAAAAGTACCATTTCCTTGGAGAATTAAATTTTCATGAAATTTTCATGAATTAATTGAAAGTTGGTGGCAGCTTCTGTTGGATCAATCATCGAAAGACACACGCGCGTGTGTGTGTGCCATTGTAGAATTAGTGAGTTCTGCAATCACGTATTTAGCAGAAGTGTGTTCACACGTAGACAGGTGCGAATTTGAGTGCATGGATTGTAGCACTTTCAGTAATAACGCGTCGAGAGTCATGACAGAGGGAAAAGAATAAAGAAATATTTCTAAACTAATTATTCCATAAATTCCTTCGTACATTACAATTAGAAATTTGTTTCTTCTGTCCAATGACTTTCGACCCGGCGTGCAACACTTTGCATGACACTTGCATGAATCTGTTGTTAGTACTTTTGCGAAAGATAAAGGATTCCAAGCCCGTAGCTGTTGTTTCGAAAGAGAAGAATCCTGAAATTTCAATGTTTCCTTAAACTTTCAACGAAGTGTCTTTGTTAAAATCGGATTCAGTTTCTCGATCGAAGTTCGGCTGAGAACTAACAAACCCGAACACGAAACCCTCCACCCTGACGAATGCAACGCGAGGCAGATCGAACTAACAAAGCACAACGTGGGCCTTCAGCTTCGAACGTGCCACGCCAATCGCGCATAAGTAAACGCGTTCCGTTCGATCGCTTTCAGGCTTACGATAATTGCGATCGCGAGGATTTCGCGGGGCACGCAACGAGGATATCGTTCGAAGAAAGCGACGTTGACTCGCTCGATGGTACTCGTGAACCGAGCTTTCGACCACGCGATTGACTGGAGGATACGGCTGGCACGGCCAAGTTGAACGCGCATGTCCTCACAGAGAGGCTTCATCTTCGAAGCCTCTTGCCAAACAAGCTTCGGTGCTTGCGATGAAAAGCGAGTTAACCGGTAGTTTCTCTGGCAAGCCATGCGGCTCGTGTCGCGTCATTTGTTCATTGTCGCACGCGCGGCTGCGAGGCTACTTCTGTCGAATCCATTTTTCTCGCGTTTACTATTATTATTCTGCTCCTTTTATTTCCGACATGCCGTCGTGCGGCCGACCAACCATTGCCTGTTGTAAGAAAAAATTCCATTCGAAATTAACATTAACCCTTCCTGGTGGATCTTGCTCGTCGAAAACGCAACAGGCACATTAGGGACGCTGCAACGGTGGCGCTGAATCAGCATGTGACACGAGTGAATCTCATTTTTAAGTTTGGCCTCGCAGCTGGATAGAATCCACGTATTGCTACCGATACCGAGTACCATGCGAAATAGTGGCGGATTTCAAACAGTTCGATCGAGCACGATTTGGATCTGATACGTGAGAAACTGCTACAAACGCGTCGTATCTATGTGACATTTTTTTATTCTATTTTTCAGCATGCTTTATATATTGTCAGATGTCGGATCTGTTCGTCTCGATCGAGACTATTTTATGATTTAAAAAAAAAAAAAAAAAACTGGCTCGATATTTTAATTTTTTTTTTTTTTATTCTCTTCTGTTCGCCTATTTACACAAGCGCTTGCATAAGAGTCGAGCAGATTATCATCGATGTATACAATTTGTTTGTTAAAGATCAATGTTTATATTGCGCCGAGATATCAACCTATGTATCGATATGCTCTATACTTTTATCTCGATGTTGGTGAGCATTGGTATATGATGAATATTTAACGATGCAAGTGTCAAGAACCCATCTGTCTTTGCGTGTCGATGTGTATCGATTGTGTGTCGTTGCCCCGGGATGTTAATGACCCATTGATTCTTCGTTTATGTCATTTCGATTGATTTTAAGACGATTCTAGAGTATACTTGATGGCATGAAATGATGTTTCGATGGTTAAAGTAGCGTTTTAAGCAGCACGTAAATTCGTCCTCTCCCATATTGCTCCAAACGGACACGATTTATCTCATCAAAGGATCAACGTCTTCTGATTCCTTGAAGATGATCTTATTGTTCCAAACGAGGACAAACCGAAGAGATAGGTATCTAGTTCGTAAGAAAATGGAAATTAATCATTGGCTGTCTCGTTCAATTATCGCGTATTGGTTTAACCCTTTGCACGTTCCTGTTAAATATCAACTAATTAATGAACAATAAATAATTTACATAGAAGTAGATCATTAATTCATGAGCTTCTGCGTAAGAAAATTAACGCTTAAGCTTTTTAACCGCGGCAAAGGGTTAAACAAACCGATTCGATTCGACGAAATTTGAAAATTTTCAATTTTTCCTTGTTGAAACGACTTTTTAATATTGTTATTGGAACCTTCTGCGAGGAGAAGAGAACATAATCGCAGGTGATAGAGTAAAATAATTTTCCTTAATGCACATATCGTTGCCTTCGCGTAATAATAATTTTTCGATAATAATAGGATTATTGAAGCTAACGTTGGATAGTTAAGCGCTGTTTAATGGTAAGCGTGATAGTAAGAATGTCGAAAGAATAAAGATATAAATCGAGGGTACGAAAGCTTTGAGAGTGTTTATTGAGACGAAAGCTATTGATAAAGAATTATTTGCCCTAGTGTTTATTAATTTTTTACCAGATGTAGTGTGATAGCGGTAACAAAGACCATGGTTATAGTGTTAAGCAGTGCTTAGCTATAATTGAAATGATCACATTTCGAAGCGTTAATGTTGAACACGTAGTGTTAATCAAGTACCTTGGTACATATGTGACGGTGAATTTTTTTCATTGATCGTTGAGAAGCATGGGTAATTAAGATTTAAAAAAAAAAGAAAATGGAAATCATATTCCGTGTCATTTATTCTTCTAACAAAATTATCAAATCATTAGGGTTTAAACCTTAAATTAACGTAAAGGAGTGCGTGGAAATTTTGAGGAAAAATAACGGGAATCTTTCTAAATTCTGGCAAATAATATGGTATATTATCCATGCAAATGTTGAAAGTATTATTTAAAGGGTACGATGCAATATTGCTCCAGTTACGAATAGAAATGTTTAAGAAACGGTATATGAATGTTATAAAACATTATTCAAAATTAGGAGGAAGCGCACGGTTGTATGGGCATATTTTAATTTAACGATTGTTGATACGATTAAAAAATAATGTATTGTACCGTCGCGATTTTATTGTTAAAGGCGAGTATAATAGAGTACCAGATGCAAAAAAAAAGTGATACTTTGTTGACTTACCTCAAATATACATGTATGTGTACTTACATATACGTTTCTCCCTTTTTCTTATGTCACTTCGAAGGAATTATAAACAGAACCACTGATAAAGTTAGCTGACTACCATAGGATAAATTGTGTTTGGGATACATTTTTTCAGATATTGGAAAGAATGATAACTGTGGCCTAGATTGGCCTGACCTATTGTCATGTCGTATCGTGATTCACAATAAAATTTATATATTAATGAACCTACCTTTACTTAATTTCTAGGTTTGCTAATTTTATTTTAGGTAAGCTTTATTATTATTATTATTATTATTATTACGGATACACTCTTAATTTAGGTGAAATAATGAAAGGTGGACGTGGAAGAAAATAAAAGGCAACAGAGACAGTAAATTAAGATTTATTATCGCAGCTAATTACTTTCTTTTCAGCAATTTGTTGCGAGGCCTATGAAACGCCACATTTAAATCTGAACAACATAGAATCCATCGAAGACACGAAGGTATACATTCAGTCAGGAATCGGCGGGATTCCATTTATTTTGCTAATTTTTATTCTTTCTTCATACAATGGCCGCATTCTTTACAGATAACGTCCTCCTCGTCCTCCTTCTTCTTATCGGGATTTTCATGTTGATCGTGCATCGTTGATAAATCACCGGTGTATGGACGATGACCGATCGCACCTATTGTTTCACTTCTGGGCAGACTCACTTCTGTTGGAATTATGGACGTTAAATCGTTCGAATAATCTTGAGAGCCATTTACTACTCCGTAATTTGAACGGCATTTAGAAGATTGCCTTTTCAATGATTTGTCCGTTTTCTCGGTATTTTGCTCTTCTAATTGAAACGCAGAGCATTCAGCAGAAGTATCTGTTGATAAAATTAAAGCAGGAAATTAAAGATATTGTGATCTACTGTTTTTTGCATGGATTAAGCAAATACTATTCTATGTATGAGGAAATGAATGTAAATTACTAGCATTAATTAGTGTTGCTTGCCATTAGTAGAATGGTTGGTATCGGATCCGGTTTCACCGCTGCAAGAAGGATCTTCGTCTTCCTTTAATGGAAATTCAGAGGACATTTCTATGGCTGGACGGCAACAAGCGTATCCCTGAAGTATATATAATTAATTACATTAATAATTATAAATAATATAATTGCGATTTATTATCTTCATTTACCTGTACAAGGTCCATACGTGAATCTAAAGAGAATTGCTTTCCTGACATGAGTATCCCTCGAATTCGACGACGCATAGCTGAAAGTATAATTATATTATCAAATACATTTATTCAATAAAGATTCATTACATTAAATTACATTGATTTATACCGTTAAATAGTTATTTTAGGATTTTTTAAGCTTTAAAGCGCGTTAATTGTTATTAAAATCAAAGCATGGTATATTTATTAATTATTTTATTAGGTCATAAGAAGATAAATGGAAAGAATTATTTAAATAATTCAAAAACTATAGAAGAATATCATTCATATCTACGCGCTTGCCGCGGATTGCCGAGTAGTACCGAGAGCCACCGAAGATGCACGATCGTCGACCGAGCACTTTCCCCCTTCAGTACGACGGTGGCGCCCCAACTAAGTAGACGTCCGGCGGAAGATCGCGCCAGAAAATTGAAATATTTGTTTCTAATTGTGTGTAATTAGTAAAAAGAGTGTGAAAACTGTGTGAGGACCTGCCTCTTGATGTACTCAACGTAGCTGCCATTCTCCAAATATTGGTAAGTGCCTTTAACTTTGATAAGCGTCCTAAATATTCTAGACTACCTTCAACCGACGCGTCATGCCATGTGCGTGTTAAATTCTGTCAACTGTATTGTCGTATCTTGTTGATTTTACAAACTGTCATGTTATAATAATACATCTCGGATAGAGTATTACATTTATCATTCATTATCTCCGTTTATTACAATATTTGGATGATAAATCTTATCTCTACGAGTTCAGTTGACAATCATTTAACCACCATTGCAATTGAAACGTCTTGTCGTTACAAGTTTTATAGTTTTAAGATTAATTTAATCATAGTTTGCAATATTTGCGTACAAGTTTATGACATTCTATTGTAACTAAATAGAAGTATTATTAAGACTTGAACGAAAACAACAAAATTTGGCGTCCTGCCGACAACACGTTTTCATGTATATTTCGCACGTGGTTCGCGTAGGTGGCACTAGTATCTGGTTTTTTGGCGGGAAGCATAACCCTATCTCATACGAACGCGTATTATTTTCTTGATCTTTAGAAATTTCCTTTTCTATAAATACGTTGCCGTGTAATAGAATTGGATAATAGAGATTATAAGTGCGTGCTACGAGCTTGGCTCAGGCATGTAAACACTACTCGATACAAGACTACGGTTTGTTTTCATTTCTTTTACCTGGACTGTCTCGAGCCTCGAGTCTCAGGTGACCGAACGCCTTAGTACATTCTTCAAACACATCTGCTGTATCGTAAATAGCAGCAAAGCTACCGTTCACGATTTTCGGTGACATTGGTGAATTAGCTAGCAACAGACTCGAGCCAAAATTTTCATTCTTTTCTCGAGTATCTGTAAATTGAGAATTCCATTTAGTATTTAATTTATATCTTTTACTATTGATCAGATCACCTATTACTTCTTGTTATTTCGTTTCAATTAACAGTCGTGCTAATAACACGGTTGGAAAATTAATTAACTTAATGTAAGAATGATGAAACAATAAATAACTAAAAACACGTCTTACCTCTGCTTTCTGTACTCCGATAATGATAGATTTTACGGAAAAAAGGAAGAAAAAAGAAAACAGAAATAAAATAATTAAAAGTGAAATTGTTTATTGTAGTATGTACAGTCTCTTCGGTGTATGTGCGTGTGGTTTCAATTTTAATACAATAGTACAACAAAAACATGAAATAAACAAAAATTCAATTAATGTAGACTTTTTTCTTGCCGGATGTGTACAATTTAATATGTAAATGTAGCATTCGTTTTCGTTCAGTATTCAATTATATACATATAAAAAGATGAAAATTTAGAAGCTTTAAAATTTATCATTTTCACAATGAATAATACCAATTGTAACATTAATCCTTCCATTCTTTGATTTTTATTCCCGAATAAGCACAAAAAAAAGGCAACATAAAACTTCGCCTATCTAAAAATGCTGAAACAGAATGTTGTTTTTAATCAAAAGATAAGCTCTCGTGTTTGATGTTTCTATGAGAATCAGTGTACACGGTGTTTACCTTTATATTTTAGAATTAGCAGAGAATAGGTTGTATCAGATCGGATCGTTTTGATTTCTCTTTACCTGCTAGTGGAACTTTAGTTCGTACAGGAGAACCAGAAGTGTCTCCTAGAATTTCGTTTGCTGTATTTCGTATTTCAGCCCAGTCTCTTAAGATATCCTCGTTAGTAGTGCTAGAAATATTATCAAAACAAATAGAGAAATAATGCAATTAACATTGAAGTTAAACAAATTTCTATCTAGCGTTAACTTACTTGGTTGAGGTTACGGTGAATCTAATCACGTATTTTCCGTGTAAAGCAGCTGGCACACAATGCACTCGACCTCTCGAGTTTATCTTTTTTAATAAACACTCGGTTAAACTATTTTCTCCGCGAAGACGAAACACGACCAATCCCAAATGTCTCGCTGCAGGAATTTCGAATCGTGCGTCGGCTAATACCAATGCTTCGAATTTTTGTGCCAATCTAACGCCCTGCAATAATCGTTTGATTATAATTAGAGATAAATAAATTCAGTATCAGGTTGCCTATTTTCTGACAATGAAATTTGATTTTTAACACATAGAAAAGGTAACATAATAGAAACCTCGCGAATATGCTTTTGAAGGCCGGTGATTCCAAAGTTTCTAATGACGAACCATAGTTTCAAGGCTCTGAATCTCTTTGACAATGGGATTTGCCAGTGCTAGAATCATAAATGATAACAGTAGCATTTTATGAAATAATTTTGCGAACGTTTGATAGTATTATTTGAATTTATTATTTAATTACCATGTAATCGATGGCAAGTCCTGAAAATAAATCAAATGTCTCATTGAATTAACATATTAATTTAAATGAAATACAAAAAAGTATTTGATATTTACCTGAATTTTCGTGCTTTAAATACAATGGATCTACGTTAAAGGTTCTATGAAGTGCTTGGCTACTTTTCACCCTGTAAAAGAATGATTAACTATCATTAATTTGTTATGCAATTATATTTTCATTTTATGGAGCCTGCTCTGCAAAATTATTAATTTTTAAATAGAGTTGATGAAAATAAGATGTAGATTCATTGGATTTATTGTAAAATAAATTCTCAGACGTGTGAATTATTCGCCACATCGGCTTTAACAGGCACTCAAACATTATTGCGAAAGACTGTGAATTATGCAGGGTCGGTCGAACGATTCGGCGGAAATTGCAGGAAGAATGAAAAAACCGATTCTGCATCCGCTGTTCAACCTATAAGTTATGAGAAAGAGGTCGAAAGACGATAATGTTCCGGATTTATGAATTTATCGGATCTGCAACGAGTTGCACTTTTTTTGCCATGCACATTTTCATTCTTCCTATTCATTGACTCTTTTTTTTTTGTTAGAAACAAAATATTTGAAATATTGATTTTGAAGAGTAACATTTATCTACGTTCATTCGTGACTCACCACATTGCGGTGCAATCGAAATGCACCATCAGCCATTTGCTAGGATTAAATGCAATTGAATCGACGTATTCTATTCCTTGAAGCCAACCGCGGAATTCGGGGCATACGAATGCACTGCCTGCATATGCTGCATCCGCGTGCAACCACAATCCATTTTGTTGACCTATTCAGAAAAAATAGAAATTGACAATTGTAGAAAATTGTGGAAAGTTTCAAAATTCTTGTTTTTTTATTAATAAAAGGAAGTAAATGATGAATTTACTTACACACTTGGCCAACTTCTTTCAAATTATCGAAGGCACATGCACCGGTTGTACCCAATGTAGCACACACCTTCATAAATCAATGAAATTTCATATATTAAAAAGTTTAATTTATTATATCATAAACTTCTTCCATTACAGTTTAATGAATGTTTAAATAATTGAATCCCTCATTTGTTTCGGTAAAGGCAATTTTATAGACATTATTGGAGATTACAGATTTTCATAAATGATCAATTATCCGATCGAATTGTTGCATTGTTATAACGAAGCCTACTTTTTCGTACTCCGTATTTGCTATCTTGAAAGATAGGGGCTTGCTAGTCGACGTCCTCAGGGACCAACTAGCGAAAAGACAATCCGCCTTACAACCTCATGTCCGCCCTCTTTTCTACTCGAACTACTGGCAACTCTGGCAAGGTTAATTGGCAGGTTGATCTTTTTATATTGCAGTACCACTATCCACCCTAATGACGTTAATTGGAATCGTGGAGTACGTGTACCTCATCATGAATTGCTTCTTAGTTTAATGGAATGTTGTATAATATTATTGATGGAAAAGTCGAAGGGATGAAAAAAATGTATCGTTAAAAAAATGACATAGGTCCATAAGTGAATTCTAAAGCAAGAATAAAAGCTACGTTTCTCTCAAGTTTATATTTTCTGATTGTAATGTAGGATTGTATGCATCTTCTTAGATTCGAAATCAAACAAGAAATCAAGAGAAGTGTAAATATTACAGATTAAACTGTATATTATGATAACAGAATTTTGCAAATAAAATAATCTGTTTGTTCTGTATTAGGATTGTTTAAATATGTTCTTAGGATATTTTTCTTTGTTTATTAATGGTTTATAAGTAATAGTACTTACGAAAAATGGAAGTAAACCTTCAGCTCTATCTCGAGTTATCGCTTCGAGTAATGCCTCTCCTCTCATACTAAGTTCATCATCCGCTTCGATGTATCTCATTCGTACCAAACCAATCAGTCCAGCTTTTTCCACGCTAGAGTGAGCCTATAACACACGTATAATTTTCAAATTTAATTAAAAAATAAAAAAATATTTTAAACGTTGTTAGATTTATCGTTAGATAAAGAAGCAATCCTGAGATGCGCCTTCTGAGAATTAATTTCCGAAAGAATTAATCAAAGCTGAGGTACAGGTACTTATTAGAAAATATACTCTTGGGAAAATAGTAGCTTGAGAGAAATAAATATTCAAGGTAGAAACACTTACTTGATCGGAACAGTATCCGACAAGACGCGAATTAATCTCAGCTGGTAAACGATCAGGCTCATTTTGTTGAACGTCTCTAATGGCTCGAGTTCTTGCTGCCAGTAAGCAAACTAGGGTAGCTTCTGATGCGGTTGTTTGTATCACGCCACCACCTCCGGATCCTCCTGGACGATGTAGAAATTCTTCTGGTAGACCGATCATTTTACCGAGCCAATTCATTACGATCGTCTCCAGTTCCGTACACGCAGGGCTAGAAGCCTTTTCAAACACATTTATTCGAAATGTTTTCCTTATTTAAAAGATAGAAAAAATTAGGGCAACAAGTGCTTCCGTAGGTTTTTATTAATTGCAATTTGAAAATTACTAATTTTATGGCGTACATTGTTTAGATATAAAAAAGACGCGTCAAATTACAAACTAAAAGTATATTCAAGTTCTTTGACTCGCGATCAAAGACCTTCCTTTTCAACAGGCATTGATAACGGAAACGTGTATTAACACCATCAGACAAAACGTCGGACTTGAATAGTACAACTTCCGAACTGCATTCACGAGGAAGTTTCACCACGTTTCACCATTGTAAACTCATCTCAAATATTCTAAGTACATAAAAGATGTTACAGACATCTTCATATCATTATCCTTTAACAGGTGAATTACTATCTCGTCTATAGGCGTCAAGTTAATTTCCATACGATTTTCATTTGATAGAGAATGATTAGAGAATGAAAATTAAATTTGGTATTATATTAATTTTTATCTTTAAAATTAATATTGACATTAAAGCTAAAATTGTACAAGTGTCACTGATAAATTAAAAGAACAAGGAGGAAAATGAAAAAATAGAAATAATGTTCTTACCCAAGTGAAGCCAAGACAATTGATAGCATCGGCCAGCATATCGGCTAATAAACTAGCAGGTGAATTTAGGGCTGGGAAATAGGCATGCATATGAGGGCTTTGCCAATGCGTTATTCCAGGCATGATGCACTTTTCGATGTCTGCAAATATATTTTCCCAAGGTTCACCATCCACAGGGGCGGACGAGGGTAGAATGTTTCTCAGGTAACCCGGAGAAACAGCCGGGTAAACGCGGCGAGATCTAATGTTCTCCAGATAATCGGCGATGTAGTCCACCACTTCTTTTCCTGACGATGTGAAATCGTGTCACGTGTTGTGATAAGAAGATTCGCATAAGTGTTCTAAAGGAAACCCTTCCAACGTCATGTCGAAATCAATCAGAAGACGAAACTTCAATGACGACTTTCGTTGGATAGAATCAATTGTTTAACTTCGATAGAAAACCTTAAATCGATTATCTCACACAATACTCAAGAAAATACTTTCTCTAGTGCAATCGTTGTTTCAAATAGTAATTGTTTCGTTCCCAAATCGTTTTTACGCAACAATGAAATTCGAGTCGCGTTATTTAAACGTTTTCTAAAAGCCACGAGTCGAACATTGTTTCTCGTAAATCTGCAATTTAATTCTAATTTTTTCCTAATGTTACAATATAACACATAGGGTAAATAGAAAGAATGATTTTTTCGTACGAAATTGGATATAAGGAAAAAGGATGTTTCTTTCGGATCCTTTTGCCTAGGATACAAAGATTTAGACTACGAACTCGGAATCTAACGTATTGGAAATGGTATCGAGTCCATAAAATTCCCCGTAGACTTACTGGCGTTCGGTGATCCTTTCTATTGGCACCGTGACTCTCTTTATTGGTGCCATTTTAACGCCTAGAAACGTATTGTAAGCTCCTTCTTTTATGTGTGAATAGATTACAAGGTTTACAAACGTTTCCAGGAATCGTAAACATTCGTCACGTTGCAAGCAATTACATTATCAGAATAGCGGTAACGAGAATCTAATTCGATTATTTTCTATAGAATAGATCAATAGCTTTTTCATTTATATAAGTGAAATTGTCTATGTATAGGTGGTAAATTTATGGGTGAAAAATTTTTAATTTTTTAGATAAATTATTTTCACTTACCATGTTGACGGTACTCCTCTAGATTCATGTTATCTGTAACAAAAGCGATGTATACCTATAATAAAGTATTATAATTAATTTTACCATATTTCTTTTTACGTGTTATGAAAGAACCGAATATGATGTTTACGTTTACGAGACTAATTATAAGCTCCTAGATATGTATTATACCACTGGGGCTTATCAGAATTCTTATCGCAAAGCGCGAGTAGAATAACGTGTATCCACGCTTTCATTATTCTAAAACGTCATCATAATTAAGAAGTACGTTATAACTAATTGTTACGATAAACTATGGCTAACTATTTAAGAATAAAAGTTCCTGATAGTATAATAGCGTATAATAATATGTGTTAAGTCCCATAACAACTTGCTATAACACTTTTGTATGTAAGATATTCATGAAAATCGAATTGTGTAGAAAAATGCAGCTACATTTTTCAGGTGCATTATTGCACTCTAAAAAAACGCCATCAAAAAGCCACTGAAATTTCCACCAAGGAATAATTTTATTTTTAATGAATTTAGCTGATTCTATTAATTATACTTTCAAGTATTTAGTGACGGATAGTATTCTATTGAAATTTACGCGTTGCAAAAATATGACAGTCAAAATGTTAGCAGACGAAACTAGAACAAAGATAAATTCGCTCACCGTTGAATCTCACAACAACCAAATCTCAAAATTTCGATGGCACCGTATCAGGAGCATATGGTGACTTAATTGATTTCACTGTGCGGAGAATCGCGATTCGGGGAGGGAATCGTGGAATTCGCGGAAGTTTAGCGAAACGAAGCAGCGGATTTCAAAGTGCCAACTAGATACGCTTAGTTGCTTTATGCGTGTTGACCTAGCATCAAAGTTTAACGCTACGATAGGTAGTCGCGAATGATTTGTACGGATTCATCATCGATCGCTTGTCACATAGGCCCAGAGCTTATTAGGCTAGTGTCACAAGGCTCTTCGCGGCCTAGAACTAAATCGTACACTTTCCTGGATTCGACTACTCGATCTGACCTTCCTTACAATTTTTCTAATCGTCCAAAATGCCCTTAGAATTCTTTGACAATTACTTTCTGGAATGATAGAAAATTCAATCTGACAATTGCATTGGATGAAATTAAAATTTATTTTGATCTTTAGAAACGTGTCTTAGGCATCCTCAAAAAAATAATTTCTGAAACTGTTGAATTAGATTAATTGATTAACAAAAGCAGCTTAATTTGGAATTATTTGAAAGTAGAAACAACATCCCTATGTTACATAAGCCTGTTTCAAGGAACATAGAATTTCACTTGCAAGTATCATGGAAGTCAGGGGTTGTTTGTGTCTTCTACGACGATGGGACCGTCTGGTCAAGTTGGGATTTCAGTTAAATTCGCTAAGCAAATCCAGAGAACTTTCTAATATCTTTAGTGCATCAAAAGTGTATAAATGTCCAGGATATTTTAATTTTATATGATTTTAGAAGACGAACAGGTACTTATAAGAGAGTCTTTGTTCTTGTTTCCTTTTTTCACATATATTATGTAAGAAACTGTTCATAAACTGATTTTATTATGTTTGACGTTCATTGTTCGCCCACGCATCCTCCACTAACGTCTTGGCTTTATGAAAAGGATCGAGTAGAGGGAACGATCAAGACGTTATCATCCGCTGATTACACACAAGAAAATAAAAGATCCGGCAGGCCCATACGGGCGTAAAATGGAAAATCGAACATCGACAGTCACGAGGATCTCGAGCTTAAGCCAGAATGACGCTCGACGATATTAAAAGCTCGTCCTTCCACCGTTTCCGTTTCCGACTTTTGTAATTTCCCGTAGCTTTCAGTATTCGAGCGTGATTCGAAGGATTTATCAGCGATGCCTACTGCTTATGCACAACGCGACCAGAGTCCCTCTGTTTTTTTTTTACGCCGATTCGCGATTTCGTCTAAAAATCAAAACTGATCCGATAGAAATCAAAATTATCGTGTTATTTTACCGATTTGATATGCATTCGATTCAAGACACAATAGAATTGTTACACTTTTCTTTTCAATATAAATAGTGGGTTTCATTCATAAAATAATAAAATGTTCATTACCGGTGATGACCAGCAGTGAATTTAATTTGATTAAATAATTAAAAAATGGAAACTTTAGGATAGTTCTAAATACCATTAAAAATGAACTAATACTATATAAAGTATGATGCATAGGTAACTAAAGCGTTGTATTAAAAATTGATATCTAACATCTTCGATAATTCATTTTATCCTATGTCTGACCAGTCATAGGTATTTCTACTGCGGCGGTTAACACGTTCGCCAGGGATTAATCGTAAGAGCCGTGGACATTCGCCGCGTATATGAAGTAATTAAAAGTAACATTAATAATATTATATTATAAATATGAATTGAATATAACTGGAATTCAAGCACCCGCTGTGAATTGTTAATAATATTATAACGCGTTCGTACAAAATCTCTATAATGAATTGACACAATTATTCATAGATTCGTGAATCAAAGTATCTGATTTTAACACCTTCAAAAAAGAACCTTATAAATATTTTCATCACAATTTTCACAATTTCTCAAATACTAAAAATACAACGAAACCTTTGCTCAAAATAGGACCCTCGTTACATTCAAACATTAATTAGACGATTCTTTATAATTTGATAGCTTAACACTTATAGTGACAAACATAAAATTAAAGGGGTTGTATAAAATAATATATTTAAAAAAGTCTGACCTGTTTAAATGCTTCAAACCTCACGACGATGAGAACTGGCAACAGTCGACGCGTTTGAAAGGGTTGTGGAGAGCAAAGTCCACTTGCAGGAAATTCGTAGCGATCACTTGACTGATGTCGCGAGGGATGATTTTTCGGTGATCGGGAAAACAGATATAACCACGGTTGAGGAGAATCGGTGGAATGCAAGTCGTTCAACAAGTGGCCGCTTTTATACAGAGACGCACTAAGTACAAGGTGTTTTAGCGCAAGCGTAGTGGAGGACAAAGACAACAAGGTACAATTTCAGTGACTAAGCTTTGTGATCTTAAGGGACTACCAATGAACGTTTTTACGATTCTTTGCACAATCTCTTTCTCAATTTTCGTTAACCACCTTGAAACAGCTTGCTCTTGTTTTTTTCTCGATATCCAAGTTTTCTTTCATTTTAAATCACCCTGTACTTTTACCTAAGATAGTGCATCTATTATAATTATTTTCCTGGTTTTAACACGGGAATACGTTTTTATCAGAGTTCGTGTAATATTATTGATAAACGTATCGATGGAATTTACTTCGTTTTAAATTGTTGGTTTGACATGTTAGAAAATTACTTAAGTGACAATTACAAGGTGGAAACATTATCAATCTTCGGTGGTAATTTTTCGAAAATGAATACTGATACTCAAATTATTTTAATAACTAAAAGATTAAACTATATAGAGTGTGATTGATGGAATATGTCAAGAATGAAGAGAAGGAAGTACTGAATAATATTAATGCTTAATAATAAAGAGTAGGTAATTAATTTGGCTATCTTAATTATCTTTGGTATTTTTAAAAATATGAAAAAATTTTATTAACAAAATTTATCTGGTATAAAGTGATTCCTTTCGTAGGTGATAGGTCTTAACATATTTCAATGTAATTATATATTTTCTTTTTAAATTAGGGGTGCAAATGGCAGATCTTTAAGGAAAAATAAATATAGCATTTACTTTCTGAGAATCAAAACATTATTTCTTTATTTCTAATACGCACTTCAGGGTATTACACAATATTACGCAATCTAATTACAGAGTATCTTATGTGGATAATAGGACATTTACACGTGTCGCTTTAATACTACAGGTATTTTGTTAGATTCTACATTAATTTATGTCGTTCTGCTGAAGAATGTGTTATCATAGTTGCTCGTGCGAGTAATTAAAATCCAACGAATTCAGTTTTATCATAACCAGTTGTATGTCTCCCCGTCTTCTTCCACTTTATACGACGGCCATTACGGCCATTTTTGAAATTAATATTTACGATTAGCCTAAAGACATTGTGTAACCTGTCAATGTTGAGTATAAAAGTGTTACTCTTCTCCGAATCATTAGCAGAATCATAAAGCAATTTCCAGGGGACTTGTACCGCAAAACACTTGTTTACAAATTTCAACTGATTAATCATGATTGCGCATCAGCGAATAAACATGTTTGTCGTTTTACAAAACATGTAATAAACAGGCCAAATATTCATAAAAAACTCTTTTTCCTTTTTAAATTTTTACTCTGATTTACACTTAAATTTCTCAAACGTTTAGAACATTATAAGATGTAACACTTACAACATAAATCCTTTTTCAAAGAAAATAAAAAATAGAAACTTATTTTTTATATAAATTACAAATTAAAAACTACAATATTTCGATTAAGAATATTTTAACTTGAAATTTTAAATAAATTTTCATGGTAGGTTTTTCAATTTTTCGTGTTTAATCTTGTAATGAATAAAAAATCTTATGTGCAATGAACAAAATAACAAAATTCCCACATTTCTAAATTATCAGCGGCTGATCAGGTAGGTTTTGAATCGACTTGAGCAAAAGTTTATTCTCGAACTGCATTACCTTATACTCCATTCAGTTGACTGTCTTTGAAATACTATTTACTACCAATTGGCGGCACTAAGCTCTATAAAATCTATAAAACATTAATAATAAACTATTTAAAACAATAATCAATCCCAGATTTTTTATTAAATCGTGAAATTTATAAACCATTCGCAAAGTTGCGCAAGTGATTTCCATTTATTACAGCAACGGTGTGATCGTTTTGTCAAATTGAATATATTGCTATAATTGATAATAATCTACATTTTACTTCGTTTTCAGAGTGCTCAGGGGGAGAAAGATTGCTGAATGGAGAAGTCAGAGCCAACGCCCTGTTGACGTGGGTTTCAAATCAACGTAAGTCGACTAAATCATTCTGTAAACAGAAATAAGTAATATTAAGCGATAACAGATGTATCGCAATGCGTGTGCTCACTGTGTCTTAACTATAATTTATTGGAGTACGATTACAAGCGTTAGGAACGACGGGCTTTAATCCAAAAATCACCGTAATTTCCGACAAATTGTAAATAAAACAGCAGTAATAGCAGCGAATACGCGTGTACCGTGTTATGATTCACGGTGATTACAAGACCGAAAACTCCTAATTAATGGTACGTACACGATCGTAGCCACGTTATACACCCTGGTTACATTAATTTGCATCGATTCATTGAAACTCGTTCGTTAACCGCATTAACGTTCGGTAATTATTTGTTTGCCCGAGGCCTCTAATTAATCCGGATCTTAAACAAATAATCGAATGCTTGTTTAACGAGTTATTAATTGAGCCGGTGCCAATCAGGGAAACAGGAATTTTCAAATAGACGTGATAATTATGAGGGGTAATTGGGGGTTTAATTTTCAAATATAATTTTCAAAGCTAATACATTTGTTTAGTTGTTAACTCATGTTCCAAAGGTAATAGAATTTTTAATGAATCATTAAAAAAAAAATTAGGTCATAGCTTGCTACTTTCAACCCCAATCAACTTTACTTCAAATTTTGAAATGGTAAAGCGATGCGATTTATTGAGATTGCGCGTGACATCTTGATTTTTCGAAATCTCCTTTATCAATAATATTTTTTTCGATTGAATCGTGTGTGCATCGGCGGCAAATGCAAATTTCTCCGAGCGTACTGCGTGATTGGCGCGCGAAAATTGCGGGAATAACTGGACAAGCAATCAAACGTTTCTTCTTCGTTCGATCCGCTCCGAGTGAATTTTCGACCCTCGTACGCCCCTCGACTGCCGAACT